AGATTCATATCAAAGAGATTCATTCAAGAAAATGTAACTACAGAATCGACTTTTGTATTTGTTCTGCATTCTGGCAACTTGATACTGATTGATTTCGTGAACAATTTCTCAAACAGAAACAAGTCTTAGTGTCTGGTGAGAAGAGAGAAAAATATAAAGAATTTGTAAAAATTTACGTTTTTAATAGATATTAATTCAAACATTTAATCCTAAGCCAGAAAAATACAAAGTGTTTATGTTTGTGAACAATTGGAGAAATAAATGGAAAGATAGATGTGCCATCATATAGATAAATGATGTCAATGATACTGATCATCAAATATGATGCTGTCGAAATAATAAATTATTGAATCTATGGAATGTTAAGTTTGGAGAACTCTAGTAAAAGAGTATCAAATTCAATATAATTTGATATCAATTTGTTACTTGCTTTAATCTTTTATTCAATATGACTATTTGAACAGGGACCCAATAAAATGCATGTATATATATATATATATATATATATATATATATTTCTTTAAATCGAAAATATTACGATAGCATGCAAAATATGTCGACTTATATTTTCGATGTTGATTTTGTTTTTCAAAGAACATCAAGCGAGCAAATGACATATTTATACATCTAAAGTTGATGTAAAAAAGTCATTTCAACAAAATTAGAGACGTATTGAAAACCAAAATAAATTACCGACTTCATGTACCATAAAATCTATTTCTATTGCAATAGTTGCTTTACAGTTGAGAATGCAACTGCATAAATTTTATTCTGGTTTCTTAACATTTCCTTGTGAAATGTCAAGAAATTTTATGATATAATTCAAGTTATTGCATCACTTATAATATAACTTTCTGTGCGGTAAAATTAAACATTTAAAAAGTATAAATAATGCCGAGCTAAACTTGGCCACGATTTGCATAAATACATACGAAAACACCATCAGATTAACAAAATTATTTAATCTGGCTTACTTGTTCGGGCGCGTGTTTGCTGACAGATGCATGTAATTTGCATGAATTTAATTTCTAAATAAAACATTTTCATTTTAAATATTGCAAACTTTGAGAAACAGAATTCATTTCATATACATGGGTATAAGGTGAGCTGAACTTTCGATTCATATTTAAATATAGTTTCGCTGTAATTTGGTTTAATTCACATATGCAGTTCGTACCTGATACTATTTTAAATTTGACTTGTTTGTCATGTAGAATGATTATTTACAGTTATAATGACAATAATGATACCACAACTATAATAATTTGAATTATTACTTAAAACAAACTTATTCTGATTTGTATTAATTTCTTGAAATGTAGAAGCAATATTTAACGAGTACTTATACAAAATAGAAATAATTAAAAGACCTTTTTTCATAATCTTCTAAATACACTCTTATTCTAGTACAGATTGAATAATTAAGGGGCACACCTAGTGTGAAATTTTCAAAAAGTCAAATTTTATTTTTTTCCATATTTTGATAGGTTATACTTTTAGAAACAACATTAAAATTTTAAATCGATATCTTAAATAGTTTTTGAGTTACAGCCATTTAGAAGAGTATATATATATATATATAATATATATATATATAATATATATTATATATATATATATATATATATATATTACACATAGCGTAACGATAATTTTATCTTCAAACGCGTTTTTCTCGAAACAGCATTTTTCGAATTTGCTGGAGTGATTACTCGGAGACAAAAGATCCGGTCAATATCAATTTTTTTTTGCCTCTCCTCTATATAGTTCTCCATAAGATGACCCTCCAGTTTCTTGAACTGATCAAAAATCGAATTTTGGCAGTCCAAAAACGACCAAAATGTTGGGAAAACATGCCGCCATTTAACAATTTTGAATTTTTTTTGTTGCCCGAGGGTCCCTCGCATAGTTTTAGTTTCACAAGATTTTTTTTTGGTTTTATCAACGGAGAAGGCTGCAATCAACTTCCACAGTGAATTACGTTTTTTTCTCGGCGCTAGAAAACGCGTGTTATTTTAGAATATTTAATATTTTATTTCAAAAATTTTACTGTGTATTCTCAAAAAATATATAAATATATCTCAAAATTTTAAATAGATGGATTCACTAGTTATATCAATTTTTTTTGCTCTCCTCTATATAGTTCTCCATAAGATGACCCTCCAGTTTCTTGAACTGATCAAAAATCGAATTTTGGCAGTCCAAAAACGACCAAAATGTTGGGAAAACATGCCGCCATTTAATCAATTTTGAATTTTTTTGTTTGCCCGAGGGTCATCGCATAGTTTTAGTTTCACAAGATTTTTTTTTGGTTTTATCAACGGAGAAGGCTGCAATCACTCCAGCAGTGAAGGACGTTTTTTCTCGGCGCTAGAAAACGCGTGTTATTTTAGAAATATTTAATATTTTATTTCAAAAATTTTACTGTGTATTCTCAAAAAATATATAAATATATCCTCAAAATTTTAAATAGATGGATTCACTAGTTATTTTATTTTTGTTCCAAAAACGGCCTTTTTTTAGGTCGTCACACTAGGTGTGCACCTTAAGATTATCAATAAAAAATTTCAAAAAAATTCCAGGCTAAACTTAATCAAATCGACAAACATATTTTATATTTTCCTAATCAACCAACGTCTCCTGAAATTATTAAATACATATATAGCTTTCTATTTTAACGAGAAGAGATTATATGCTCCTTTTTTGGGGGCAATGCCGCTATGTAGTATATATTTTACCAACGTTTTTCCAATACTAGAAAAATCACCTTAACCCCAACTAAACCTCTAAAACACCTGTGGAGGCCAGTAGCTAACGAATGAAACCAAAATTGCTCTTAAAATTAAACCTATTTAATAACTTGGAAAATTTACAAAAATATATAACTGTATTGGCATAGAGTAATGTTGCCAAACTAATATTCATGATTATTATTTTACACTATTGTAATATCCGATCTGGCCTTAAGGTTGACCTGTCCTCTTATTGTCTAGTCTGGGATTATCAAATCTTTAAGGCAATAAAATCAGTTATAACCACAGTATTTTCTTAATAAAACTCCATCAGCCCAATAATCGCAAAAAATAATTTTTTTACCTTCAACCTTGTGCTAATTTTTTAGCTCGCACCGGAACCATGAGGACTTTTGAGATTCATTTTATAATTGTATTTTAAGCAATTTTACCAAGTTATTTATTCTGTTTCGAATAGTTCAGTAATTTGTCAAAATATACAAATATTTTAATACTTATAATATCAATTTTATAAACATGATTAGAATGTTATAAACATGCAACCATCGGCATATGACGCATTCTTAGATACCTAATTTATTTTACTGACTATTTATTTGTGTAAAGAATTAATGCAATTCAACGCATTACCAATAAAGCAAATAATTGAAAATATGAAGTAGCCTTAGATTGAATTATTATAAGTTATTTTGCAGTTGCATAAATATATCCATTTCATTAATTTTTTCCCGTCTCCATCAAGATTTTTCTAATTACTAATGCAGAAAGTGGAAACAGGATTTTATAAAAGTAAAGAGATCGTCTTTATTGAATCAAAGAGTTTCTTACATTTCGATGAAACATTTTGTTCATCAATAGTTTAACTGGGTCGTTCTTTCAATGAATTGATTTTATCTCGGCTTTAGGAGAACTTTTTTCAGAACCATGGAAAGTATTAAAGCGGGATCGGTAGCGATGAAAGTTTCTTTAGCGGTAATATCAATTATGTGGTTCCATTTTAATTAAGAACAAGACATAATATATATATATATATATATATATATATATATATATATAAACAATAGTAGATATGTCCAGAACTTATAAATGCACAACAAAATTGTTGCGCGTATAATTAGTGTAGTATTATACAAAGAGAATTAAATTGTTTATTTTTTTAAGAGTTAATTCCGTATTCAGTATAATTCAAACCGTTCATAATATGCGAACATTTCAAAGTAAAATAACACTAATAAATTACATGAACGCAATTAAATAGGTAAATTCCATAGAAAATGACCTGTAAAAAACAATTAAAATAATTTTCTTTCAACGCTGCATCGAATAACTATGCACATAATATTCATCTACATATGCATATATATATATATATATATATATATATATATATATATATATAATATTAGTTAAATGTCGTTCATGATATTAAATATGTTTGGCTTTGCGTTCTTTGATGAAAGCTTTTGATTTATATGATATTCATCATATGTGTATATTATGAAAGAACTTTAAATCTTCTCTGACTCGTTATTTGTAAGTTTGTTTTTTTATTCACTTTAGTATAAATAACAAATTAATAAACTTTCAATAAAATTATGAAAATGAGAAAACAATATGTGAAATTAATAAATATCGATACAACTTTAAGCAATAGATTTAGGCAAAGTTGTTCAATTTGACATAAAATTTAATTTTTTGGAAATATTATTGATCTTTTTATCAAATTTATATTTAATATCATATATGGTAAAATGATGATATTTAGCTTGTGTTTCTGCCATAAAATATCCAATAAGAATATTATATCAACATGTAATTCTAACTTGACATTCAGTACAAGTTGTATTAAAAATATATACATGACATATTTATAGACGAGTATAAATATAAATAATCAAGTTATTTTTGAAATCAATGCATTTTTTTTATTTACTACCCAATACGTAGTAATTAAAAGTCAATTATTTGTTGGTACATGTTAAAATTAAGCAACTCTACCAAAAACATGCTTGTTACAACTGAAAATCGTGCACTATGAATCTAACGAGCTAAAAATTAGGTCAACATATTAATAAATCAAAAATTCCGGACGCGTACATTGACTATTTCTATAAAAACATACAAATGATAAATATGAATATATGGTAGATATTGATATTTTCAGCAATTGATTTGTGGAAATAATAATTTGGGAGAAAAATGATTAATGCATTGGAAAATAAGTTTTTTGCTGGTATTTTATTTCAGGTGTCACAATCCTGCTATCCCAAACAGTTTTCTCGCTAATGGTCGGCCACGTAATAACAGTCACGTCCGAGGCCATACCTCTCATAGGTTAGAAAACACGAATTATCATTATGTATATCATTCATAATTTCATATTATTTCTATGACAGTTTCTGTCGACTGACTATACTCTGAAACTGGCAAAAATATAGAAAAGTTTATGCATCAAAGCGTTTATTTAGATCCGTAAATTAATAATTAAAAAAAAGAGTTCATTCATACTATTGATGAAATTTATGCACTATTGCATTAAGTCAATTCCATTCAGACAACTTGATTTTTTAATTAAAATTCAAATTAAAAAATTATAAAATCTGCGTAATCGCATCACAACTATTCAATTTCACCGTTAATTATTTTTTTAATAACATATTCATTGAATTGAAAAAAAATGTCTATTAATAAAACTGTCTATTAAAAAAATATATAATCATAAGCGCAAATTTAATCTGATCGAACAGGCACGTGTAAAGATATAAACACAAAAATATTATGTCAGCTACAATTTATATTCATTTATTTATATATATATATATTACATTCTCCAATTTATATTCTCATTCTCCAGGTATAGATTTATTTGAAACTAATTAAAGTAATTAAGGGGGCAAATCTCCTGTAGAACAGACCGTAACATAGCATTGTTATGGCAACGCTATGTTACGCTTCGTTCTTTGTACTAAAAACTGCTAAAATGATATGTATTTGCTCTGCAGTCAGGCGTTTTATAAATAAAACCTAATCTACAAAACGCACAAACGTCAAAAAATGATATTATTATAACAGCATGTTTATGATGTGTCATAATAACACACGCGTGAACTTAGGTTTTAAGAAAGAAGTGTAACATGGCGTTGTCATAATAACGCTATGTTACGGTCTGTTTTATTAAAGAATTGGAGCCTAAAGCTCATTGTTATTATAAAAAATATCAAATGACGATCAATACGACTTGCACGTGATACTGATCAATTTAGTAAAAAAATCATATAATAAATTAATATATATAAACAATACTTTAGGTGGTCCTTAATATTGACATTTTCGGATGTTATTGCTCCCAGGGGCTTAAATGCTTCCAAATTGATAAAAAAATTCTCTAAAAGTTTTAGCTCTTAATATTAACTTTTAGATACAGCGCAATTCAATAAATGTTTTGTATGGAAATAGCATAAAAAACAATTCGAAAATTTTAAAGATATAACTTAGCAACAAATTAATTAAAAGTAACAATTCGTGTCATCTTTTATTGAAAATTCGACGCTCTGCAAAATAGGGTTTTCATCATTTGTTTTATAGAGCGTCGAATTTTGAATAAAACTCATTCATTTGGTCGCTATGTTATATCTAAAAAACATTTTTAAAATTCTTGAAAATTTTTCCATGCTATTTCCATACAAAACTTTGATTGAATTGCGCCTATCTAAAAGTCAATATTAAGAACTACAACTTGTAAAGGATTTTTTTTATCAGTTTGGAACATTTGAGCCCCTGGCAGCAAGGAAATTCGAAAATATCCATATTAAGGACCACCCTATATATATATATATATATATATATATATATGTTATGTTTTCAAAAGAATCCTAAAATAATTTTAAAGTATTAGGTTACAATATTTTTAAAATTTTATAAAAATAATAAACTTGAGCTATCAAGCTTGCGAAATGCTATATCAAGATCAAATATATTTTATAATAAATAGACCTAAAAAAACAAATAACAACAAACAAGATTTAAAAACAGTAAAGCTGCATTTCATAGAAAAATACCCATGAAAGTTTTCAAGTAACTTTTTGTATGATATATGTTTCTTAGTACGAATGTTCTTTAGAAAGATCGTTTTGTAAATTACTTATAAATAAAAAAGTAACGGTTTATAAACTAAAAATTAATAATTCATATCAATTTTTAGTGTGCTAATAATTCGTTATATGTATATTGAAATATATTTCCATCGTGTTTTCAAATTGGTAGTTATTGCAATTCAAAAGCAATATTTTTCGGCAACAACTGAGTGCTTCCATTTATTCGATAAATAAATTGAACATATAAAATAATATATTACACTCCGATTTTTCATATCGGTTTAATCACTCACACCAAAGTAATAATAATAATTAGTTTAGGGTTTTTTTGGTTATAATTAATTACCATATCCATGAGTTAATTTTATACATGCCTTTGATGCATAAACTTCTCTGATATTATTTGCTCAAAAAGCCCGTGTATATTATAAACTAAAGGCGAACTCATAATTCGATAGAGAAAATCATTTCATTCATCTATGAAATTACACTAATTAATTTTAATTAGTTATGTTTAATGCAACCTCAACAACTCTATCGCTTTGTGAGTAAACCTTCAATTACTACGACTTCTACTTGATAAAATAAATAAATGATTAGTTTGCATGTATTCACGTCTCAATACTATAAAAAACGATTGGAATTGTAAATACATGACAAAAATGATTAACCCGGAAATATTTCCTGCAATGTAGATACAATTGTAAATATTTTATTATGATTAAAAAGCATTGCTACATATTCACAATATATATCCGCACATTTTATTGAAAAAGTATTGCACATAATGATAACAGCATGATCTTATGAAAAATTCATGAGATGGAACACAGACGTAGCAATTATGATTTTGTAAATATTCAAATGTATTATTTAATTTAAAACGAGATCATCTGCTATTGAAAACTTATTTCTGCCACGATTTGTCACAAATACAGCCAAAATATAATAATAAATTAGGAAATTTAAAGTTGGATCTAGTATCAAATTGTCATTCAAAATTGCATTTATAACTATATATATATATATATATATATATATATATATATATATATATTTAAAATATACGATATATATTTTCACATTTATCTGAAATTGATCAAGCCAACATCAATAAAGTCATTAATATTTATTTTATTTCACATTTTTTCTACTAAAAGTTATCTGTAATCATCAGAGTAATTGAATGATGGTTATTGGTCATTCAATTAAAAGGTTTATCGAAAAATATAAGCTAAAATAAACATAGTTATAATATTTAACTCGTGAAGACTTATAAAAAAGCAATTTTATTTTACAAATGAATGGCGAAGAATTATATGGGACTGCAATAAAAGCCATTGCAATGAATAAAATATATGAAATTTGACTATTTCCAGATTTTTTCTTTAAATGGACGAAAAATTATGTTTAAATATTTACATTAATAAAAAATCTAAATCGATACTATAATATTAACGGAAAAATATTAATCATAACAAATAATTTATAAAAATAAATACACTAATACATTATCACAATTTATATTGTTTTGTTTTCTCAAGTATATATTAGAGTTTTAATATTATCATTTTTCTATAAGTATTCGATTTATTAAAAGTAATAATTATTTACCTCATATATTACCTATTTATGAAAATATTTAATTTTTTAGACATTAATTCCACGTTTAGCGGGATGTCCCCTTCTGAAAGGACTTTGAAAGATTAACATTAAAAATTAGAACAAACACTCAATAAAAATTAACGTAATAACACAAGCAGTCACGTATATATATATATATATATATATATATATATATATATATATATATATATATATAGCTACATTAGGGTGGTCCTTAAAATGATCATTTTTGAATTTCCTTGCTCCCAGGGGCTCAAATGGTTCCAAATTGATAAAAAACAATTCTCTGAAAGTTTTAGGTCTTAAAATTAACGTTTAGATAGAGCGCAATTCAATCAAAGTTTTGTGTGGAAATAGCATGGAAAATTTTTCAAAAATTTAAAAATGTTTTTTAGACGTAATTTAGCAAATAAATAAATGAATAAAACTCATTCATTTGTCGCTAAGTTATACCTAAAACATTTTTTTTAAATTTTCAAAATTTTTTCCATGCTCTTTCCATACAAACTTTGATGGAATTGCGCTCTATCTAAACGTTAATATTAAAAGCTAAAACTTTCAGAGAATTGTTTTTTATCAATTTGGAACCTTTTGAGCCCCTGGGAGCAAGGAAATTCGAAAATAACCATTTTAAGGACCACCCTAAGCTACATAGATATATATATATATATAAATATTCATAAAAAAGTACAAAATACTGAAATAAACCATAGAATAATATTTATGAACATAAACTTGAAACCAATTAAAGTCATATTTATGAGAAAATGATAAAAATTTCAGGAAGCTCAACAAATGCTAGAATAACTTTATATTTAAAATCAAAATAATAATTGTAAAAATGTTAAAATTGATTTTCTACAAAATTTTCCACCCACATTTTTCATCCAATCTTGTAACATGAATAAGCTTTCTCATATAAAATATATGAAATATGTTAAATCTACATGTCTGCGAATAAATACATTTGAAACAATTAACCAAAAAAAAATCAACTAAAATAATGTATTGTGCTATGACAAATAAATAATTTAATTTACGATTCGTTCAAGTAACAAAGTGAGTTGATTTTTCACCTTCATCAATAAAATATTAATGAAGATCGCCGTTATTTACTTAAAGAGCAACTGAGTTTTCATTACCGTTTGGTTTGCTTTATATACGAAAGCAAACAATTGCAGAGCAATAGGTAGAGTTTGAAAGCAAAATCAACAAATCTTCATAGAACGAAAGTTTATACTGAACGATTTTATTTAGAGAAGAATTGTATTGATAATATGAATTATTTAAATTGCCCATCAAGCCGATATTCTTTGCACAACAAATGTGTAATATTACTTCGGATGTAAAGGAATTTTATTTATAAAAATATTTTTGGTTGATGCATTTTAAAAAAAACTAAAAACCGAATTTTATAGATCAAATATCTCCGAAGTGTGAACGCAAAAGTTAAAACGGGGCTTAAAGATTTGCGATTTGAAAGGTCCACCACCGATATTTTAAAAACACGTTGAGTTAAGAATTTTTCAACATCAATATTTGAAAGAAGAGGGAAATAGAAAGACAACCAGCCATCGCCCTGATTCCTATGACTTTGCTGTCGGGAAATATACG